CAGGTAAAGCCAGAGAGAGAAAAAGAGAAAAGAAAAGAGACAGAGAGAAAGAAATAAAGAAAAGAAGGAGAGGAGACAGAGACAGAAACAGAGACAGAGCGACAGACAAACAGAAAGAGATACAGAGACACACACAAAAAGAAAAAAATAAAAACAAAAAAAAACAAAAAAGATAGAAAGGAGACAGACAACGCAACTCAGACTGAGAGACAGAAACAGAGAAAGAGACAGAGAAAGAGACAGAGACAGAGAAAGAGACAGATAAAGAGAAAGAGAAAGAGAAAGAGAAAGAGAAGGAGACAGAGAAAGAGACAGAGACAGAGACAGAGAAAGAGACAGAGACAGAGATAGAATGATAGAGACAAAGATAAAGACAGAGAGAGAGACAGAGAAAGAGACAAAGAAAGAGACAGAGAGACAGAGAGACAGAGAGACAGAGAAAGAGAGACAGAGACAGAGACAAAGAGAGAAACAAAGAGAACAAAAAAGAAAAAGGAGACAAACAGCAGCAGTTGTTTAGTTGCATACACCTGAAGATGTCTCCGCTAACAAAAAAGAGAGACACACACTCAACACAAAAAAAACAAAAGGAGACAGACAGAAAGAGAGACAAATAGAAAAGGAGACAGACAGAAAAGGAGAGAGAGAGAGAGAGAAAGGGAGAGAGACAGAAAGGGGGAGAGACAGAAAGGGAGAGAGACAGAAAGGAGACAGAAAGGAGACAGAAAGGAGACAGAAAGGAGACAGAAAGGAGACAGAAGGAGACAGAAGGAGACAGAAAGGAGACAGAAGGAGACAGAAAGGAGACAGAAAGGAGACAGAAAGGAGACAGAAGGAGACAGAAAGGAGACAGAAGGAGACAGTTTTAGTGGCGGCTGCTGTTTGTCTCCTTTTCTTCTTTTTTTTTCTTTTTATCTTTCTTTGTCTCTCTGTCTCTGTCTCTCTATCTCTCTGTCTCTGTTTCTCTCTGTCTCCGTCTCTCTGTCTCTCTTTCTCTCTGTCTCCGTTTCTCTCTTTCTCTCCCCTCTGTCTCTCTTTCTCTCTGTCTCCCTCTCTGTCTCTCTTTCTCTCTTTCTTTCTTTCTCTTTGTCTCTCTGTCTCTCTTTCTCTTTGTCTCTCTGTCTCTCTTTCTCTTTGTCTCTCTGTCTCTCTGTCTCTCTGTCTCTCTTTCTTTCTGTCTCTCTGTCTCTCTGTTTCTCTGTCTCTCTTTCTGTCTCTTTGTCTCTCTGTCTCTTTGTCTCTCCTTCTCTCTGTCTTTCTCTTTGTCTCTCCTTTTCTGTTTCTATTTGAGCCTGCAGGGCCCGCAGCGGCTGAGGTGTACGTACACCTAAACCCTAAGAACAAAACCCTAAACCCTAAACCCTAAACCCTAAACCCTAAACCCTAAACCCTAACTGTGCAGCAGTTACTGCAGCAGATGGTGGAGAGGTAGACAAGTACAAACAGCAGCAACAGCAGCTCAGATGGCGGCCTCAGAAACCCTCAATCAAGCGAAAACCCTAAACCCTAAACCCTAAACCCTAAACCCTCTATTTCGTCTGCCTTAGAACCAACCACCCCACGACTTAATGGGGGCATCCATATTGCTTTTTTGAATATGTACGAATGCTAGCTAGCTAGCTAGCTAGCTAGCTAGCTAGCTGGCCAGCTAGCTAGCCAGCTAGCCATCTAGGTGCCTAGCTAGCTAGCTAGCTAGCTAGCTAGCTAGCTAGCTAGCTAGCTACGAGTCGGAGATGTATGTATGCAGCTAGCTATTGAGCTGATACCCCCAAAGGGTATAGCGGGACTCAACTATAGGCTACTGCTACTGCTGCTGCTGCTGCTGCTGCTGCTGTTGCTGCTGCTGTTCCTACTGCTACTGCTGCTGCTGCTGCTACTGC